CTTGTCAATTTTTAACGGTGTTAGTGGCCACGTAAGATTGACATCTGCCATGTAGAGATTTTTGCCTAATTGGATGGATGGGTGATGGATGGGTAATTTGTTTTTCGAAAGTGGGTGAGCATTCGGTAACCATTTATTTTTGGGTGAGCAAGTAGTAACCGAACTCAAATGTTGGTCATTGATGATTTAACTAACTCAATAATAACTCTCCATTTAAATTCGGGGAGATTCCATGGGGATAGACGACAAAGAAATAGTTTTGAAAGGAGGATGAAGGAATATGTTAGAAATTGGTGCTCCTATCTTCAATTCCAGGCTTAGTTACTATCAATCAACCAGCACAAACAACAACCTAAATCCAAACAAATCTTCCTAAAACGGTTGCTCTACGGTTTGCCCACAAAGGGCTGAGTGTCAAGAGGTTATGGGAGCTCACGGGTAAGCCACAAAGACTAAAAAAGGAGGAGAAGACAAAGCATAGGAGGCACGAAGCCTAGGAAGAAAGCACGAAGCAAAGGGACTATATCTTTCTCTCAACACACGGCTGCCCAAACTTTCACACTCCTTCAACAGTAACGGGCAATGTATATAAAGGTACCAAGTGTGGGCTTTTAGGTTAGAACATAGTTAGGCTCAATATGAAATAATAAAGCTACCACAGAAAAAACTTCCAAGGTAATGGGTTGGGCCATGAGTAACACTAATATAATTAGGTTACTTTAAATGACTCATATATGATGTAGGAATGGTTTGTTCGATTGTGGTGTCGACATTTCACTTCACTCATTGGCCGATGCCTATGAAATATAATCTAATAAGGTTTAACATCATCGCTCGAATTTATTGGGTATCAAACCCCAATAAATCTCCACCTTAATTCCCAATAAATTTGCAAGCAACCAAACCACACAGTTTATACTTTTATAATCAAGGTAACCAATGAAATCGGTATCGCAGACCTTACCTTGTGTTTTGAACCTGAAATACATATCATACCTGCTCCATATACTCACAAGGGCTAAGATCAAGAACATCCAAGTAGAAGCAGAGAATCATAGCAATCAATCAAGAGCAAATAAACATGCGACGGAGATATCATATATAGGATAACACATAGATCTTTTCAAAACATGTTCACACAGAACAACATATTAACACCAAGTTAATCAACATGTCAACACATATGCAACAAATGTATAAATGACCCCACGAAAAGATCTCACCACACTTATCCTATCCCATTACGTGTTGCTCACACCTCGAGAACACATATCTCACATCATCGCCCACCATGCTCACTAGACTAATCAATCAAAACATGTCTAATTGGTAAGTCACTATAGATCCTAAGTTCTCGAGGTAATCCTCTATCACCACATGACTTCTCCCAACCTACGTGGATAATAGGCTCCACCTAACAGAAGTAATAAAAGTGCCTCTCTCACACTCCACCTGACGAGGGTCTCTTCACAGATAAAGGATTCCAACATTTGATCACCTCTCCACTCATGATCCAAATGCTACACTCCATCTCCGGTACAAACCATCAATGTACCCCTAGGCATCTGTACTTCACCTTACCAAAAGACACACACGCACTGCTAATGCATCCCAAACCCACTATGCATGCAAACAATTACACCAAGTAATAAGATCACTCCAATTCATGCCAATGAACATATCAAACACATTGAAATGCAACATAATCATGCAACAGAATTAAGCAATCACACACATGCAGAAAGAATTACACACGAATGCAAATGCAGTAACTAGGTTTACACTCAATAAGCCTCACTAGGGTCATCACTCGACCCTAATGCCAAATTCGCCTCGCCTCTCAACTTATCATTTTGCTTATCCTTGTTCTTCTTAGGGCAGTTCCTAATAAAGTGTCTAGTCTTACCCAACTGTAACACCGTCTACCACTAGACTTATCCCATTTTTTGCCATTTTTCTTACTACCCTCATCACTCGAATCACTATTGTCTTGAGCTCTACCCAAATTCATGTACTTAAACTTCATTCTACTCATCGTATGCAACTCACAACTTCTCTTATCTTCTTTTTCAGTCTTAATCTCCATCTCCTTACTCTTAAGGGAATTTATGACAATCTCGGGTGTTAAAGTGTCCTTACCATATTTAATTATGTTCTTAACCTCTCTGTATGAATCAGCATAGAATTTAGCAAAATGATGGCTTTATAAGTTTCGAACACTTTCTCATCACAGTTAACGATGTATTGAATCGGTTTGTTAAAAACATCCAAATTTGTTGAATCAGCATAGAACTTCGCAAAATGATGGCTTTATAAGTTTCAGACACCTTCTCATCACAATTAACGATGTCTTGAATCTGCTTGTTAAAAACATCCAAATTGTCATCAAGATCCTTTGAATGATCCATTTTAAAGTTAAAAAACCTTTCAAATAAGTACAACTTATTAGGAGTAAATTTAAGCAAAAATAAGTCTTCCAATTTTTGTCAAGGTTCTTTGGTAGAATTAAGTTTTCCAACTTTTTTCAAAACAATGTCAGATGGTATAATATAATTGAAGTGTAAGCAAATTCGTCATATTCAGCCTTTTGTATTTCTGTTAAATCTGCATGAAATTTGCCATCAATGGCCTTAAAACTTTTTGTTGAACCAAAATCCCCTTCATTTTTTGTTGCCAAATTGAAAAGTCTCATTTCCTATTGAAAATTTCAATTTCGAAATGTGAAGACATTTGGAAAAACGGAACAATCAAAATGCACAAATATGTCACACAAAATAATCATAAGGCAACAATATAAGCCATTTTAGATTCCCAGAATTTCGTAAGATTCACGATCTTAGATTAAGGGAATGTTCAAATGGGTCAAGTTTTGGTATTCTAACGGAATAGTCAATGCAATACTAAGGTATATCAACAAAAATTCAAAATTCTCATGCAATTAAATACATAAGAAAATATCAACTTGCAGTTAAAACCAACACTTCAAATAGAGAAATTAATTCCTAAATTTCTAGCATAAGCAATGGTTACCCCTTCATGGTAACCCCAATCCTAATGTAACCTCACATGATGACGCGCCAATGCTGAAATTTAAACAGGATAAGCGAATTTACCAGAAAGGACCTATTTGAGTCCGTAAATTACGAAAGATGCAAACTTATCACTTTAGGACCACCACTATTCGCCCTAAAGTTTCCAGC